GGGAAATTTTCAGATTGAAATTGGATTCAGTATTAATTTTTCATGAAAAGAGAATATCAACTCAAAGAAAATTGGAAGAGAACATATTGCCCACGTGAGACTACGCCTGTGTATACCAATCTAAACCAATCCAATCTACACTGCGGGCCCACAGGGGTGAAGAGGAGTGAGTCTGAGGTGGTCCGGGAGTTGGTGTCGAGGGGTTGGGAGAGTCCTAATTGGCCCCCACAGCCACCATCCGTCCATTCCTTACCTTGCCTTTGCCCTCTGTCTCTCCTCTCGCTCCCCTGCATCTGTCTCTCTCACCACTGACTCGCGACTCTTAACTAGGACTCCGCGTACGAATCAGAGAACAAACGGCACACAGAGGCGAGAGAGCTTACACCCTTAACGAGGGAACACCCGACCGAGTGAGTGCGCGATTTTGGTCTCTGGTTTTCTCCAAGATATCTGGGTGCAGTTACCATGATCCTCCTCCTCTCCCTCCACCCCCTTTCAACTCTGTATTACCGACAATTATTTGACTTCCAAACGGTTCATCCCTGGTACAACATGAATTCGCATAAATTTACCGCAATTGTGGCGAATAAACGCGGATAAAAAATTCAGCCCTGAACGTGAATTAAGGATGTCCAAGTACTTTGGCTAGTTTTTCTCGAGTGAAATGCTTTTCTCCTTTTATGGTCGAACATCAGAGCTTTCATTTGAGCCCCATTTAACCCTAAGTTTCCCGATATTTTACAATGATTTTATTATTTAAAGTTGGCAGATCTGAATTTGAATCTCGATATTCAAACGTTGGCATCCATTTTAAAATTCTGAAAAAAATAGTAAGTTTACTTTTGGAGAAAGATTCATGAAATGATTTAAGAATTGAAAGTTTTGAGAATTACCAGCATTTTTTGTAGATAATTTATGAACAATCAATTTTCTACCATAAAAATCATTTGTTCGGAATCGTAGCAAATTTATTCATATTCAGAATTTTACCAGAAATTAATTTCATGCCTAAAAAAATAAGGTTTCCTAAAGTTTAAACAATTTTAATTCAGTAGTGAAGCGGTAAACCGGGTTAAGTCGGTTTTGACTTTTGGCCAGTTTTTTATGAACATCTCAGAATCTAAGAGAGATAGCAAAATTTTTCTCATAACCCTTTTTATAACCCTCACTTGACTCTACAAAAAAGGTTATAACAAGAATTTTTCTATCTCTTTTAGATTCCGAGATAGTCGTCAAAAACTGGCCAATAGTCAAAATCGACTTAACCCGTTTTACCGCTTCGCTACTCAATTATTTATTTACAAAAAAAGAATGTTTAAAAAGTAATAATTCTGTGCAAAATGTAATTTGAATGACGCTGAATATTTATGATTTTTTTTCAAATTTTTCTCTCGCAATTTAATTGACAAATTTGGTGATTGAAAATTGTTGAATCTATAGTGTGGTCTGTACCAAACTGTAAAAGATACTTGAATATTTCTAAGAATAAATATGGCTATTTGAATTTGAGAATGCAATTGTACTCAACTTGGAAATCCGTTTGTTGTGAATTTCTGAAAATGATATATCTAACATTCTTGATAGCGAATTTTAGATCATTCGCTATCAATGAATTTCTAAAAACGAAAATCATCAAAGAATCAATAAATCCAAGAATCAATGTGAGAATTATCTCACATTCGCCACCAAGAATGTCTTTTTTGGAAAATTACGTATTCGTTTCCCATTTTTCATTAAATTTACATTTCCCACAATTTTTTTTTCAATGCAACAAATTCCAGACGAAATTAATACTGCAGGTGTCTGAAGTAGGTGAGAAAAAAAATTGTTCAAAAAGTGGCTAACCATTACCTCACCATATGTTGTCGGTTTCAGGAATACCGGTATTTTCATTAAATTCTTCTGAGGTCAGTGTGTGCCAAGTCAAAAAAAGTCTCGAGTTACCAACGCAGGTATAAATCCAGGAGGAGTGTTCTAACGGAGAATAACTGGGCATTAACGTAATTTCGGGAGGTGGAGAGCTAAAGTGGTTCCAATAAGTACTGACCGAAAATTTATACGAGAATAAAATGCGCGGTGCAAAAATACATTAAAAATAAGAATCAATATTGTAGTTAATTTTCAAGTTGAATTCAATTATACTAAATCATGGCAAATTGGAAAAATCAGTAAATCATACTAATGCATACACTGATAGAAATTCAGTTGAATTCAGTTTCAAATGAAAACGTTCACTAAATTTTTCATTCATCTTGAAAATTCAAGACAATTGAGTTTTTCATGTTAAAGAATCATTAATTTTTCAATGAAAGCTTGAATATCCAAACCTATCGTGAAAATTGGACATCACATACAATTCAATTTTCAATAGATTGAAAATTCAGGGAAGTTATTACCTGAATTTTCAAATTTTTCAAAAGGTCTGAAAATTTTGTTTTTGAAAGGTTTGAAATTTGAAAAAAGGGTTTTCAGTGCCGTATGAACCTGAAAATCGAGAATTACTTGAATATTCAAGAAATTAACAATTCTACAGAAATTTCACGTAACTTTGTCGTTATTAACAATTTCAAGCTTTTTCACTTGAAACTTCAAGAGTAATTTTCTAACAGTGTAGTCAATGAGCAACTTTTCGCTTTATATTTACCTTTCCTCGCGCTCCGGAAACCAATCAGATACAAAAGTTATTACTAAAATTCCACAACCTAAAAAATAATATTGCTAAATTCTAATCTCGAACAAGACCATTACGAGTTACTAATTCACAAATAAATAAAAAAAATAGTAGTTACTGTACCATCCAACAAAATTAATCATGTTGAGTTCTACAGTCATACTACAAATCATTTTTCTGGGTGCATGAAAACGTCTCGCGAGAACAATTTCTACTACGAAAATTACCACGTTTAGATGGAAACTTTCTTTTTATATCCCCAAGTGAATTGATTCAACACGACAAAAAATCTCTCCAGGACAACCTATAATTTTTCAGCAGAGCGAATTTTTTCCCTCAGTAAATAATTGAATGTTCAGTCCTTTCATCAAAATTCAAGCACAAGTTCTCATTTCCCTACCCCCTCAACCATATTAATCCGAATAATTTCTATTAATTCCATCAAACAAATTACGTGAATCATTACCCACCTGTAAACTACCAGAACTGTTTAACGACAGTTGAATTCAGGGAAGTGGTAGGGATTGAGTCCGCTTCGAAAACGTGAAATCTCCAGGTTGGAGTAGGCAAGGGCCAAGTTTCGAACACGGTAATGCACTCGATGCACTTCGGTGGTACTGGAGAGCGTATTGCAGGGGGGGGGGGGTTGGGGG